AATTGTGCAGGTGAGCCTGTGGAGGCTGGGGATGATTGCCTGGGAACCAGTGTAAATGTGACTGTGTTACTGGGTTCTGTCTTATCCCCAAAAGCTGGGCTTAGAGCCTAAACATTCCTTGGGACTGCCAGAGCTCTGTGGGACAGGATGTGACTGAGATCAGCTTTGAAATGATGATGGTTTATTGTCCACACAGGGGCAGCTGCTTGACTGGTTCAGTCCTTTTTGGGTTAGACCTTGCCTTTGGTGTTTGGTTTTGTGGCTTTTTACTGGTTTCAGCTTTCCTGCCTCTCTCTCATAGGCTAAAACCTCTCTGGCAGTTCTGTGCTGAAAAAAACCCAACCCAAACAAACCCAGAGCAAACCAAACTCATTTTGGGGTGAAAGTGGGTTGGACTCCAGGGTGAGCTCTGAGCTCTTGGTTGCTCTCGATGGCCGATCGAGCTCTGAGCTGAGGAATCTGCCCTGGAGACCACAGGGGGTTGTTTTCATGGAAACTCAGTTTAATACCCTGTCAGTTTTGTTTATTATTTTAATGCAGTAAAATTTATTCTGTAGTCACAGACTTCACACTAAATTCACAATTTTAAAATTAATTGAAAGTGCTGCTCCAAAAACTCGTGGTTCATGAAGTTAATTGGAGTTTTTCCACCCACCCCTTGGCAGAACACAGGGAAAACTGCTCTGAGGTGCCAGTGCCCCCCACTTCCAACAAGGTCGTCAGCCTAAAACCATCTCCTTGCAGTCTGAAACCATCCCCATCCTAAAGCAGGGCAGTGTCCTTCTCCAGCTGTGCTGCTGTACTGGTAGAAAATTGGGAATATACGGGGCAAACTGCACGGAGATGAGGATTCTCACTGCTCCTGGTGGTCAGGAGCTCTGTCACAAGTGATGTGACACTTGTTGTGCCCTTTGTTTTCAGTGAGTCTCTGATCAGGAGTAGAGTTGAGAATACCTAATTTGTGTGATTGTTCACCCTGTGAGACAGCAGTAGCAGGGCATAATTTGCAAGTGTTCTATAGGTAGAAATGTCTTTGCACGAATTAGGGACCGAATAAGTAGAATTTGTTCAAATCAGCTCATGGAAAAATAACGAAGAGGCCAAATGAACCCATTGAATACCCCGTTGAACACACTTCCCCCATGTGTAGTATTTATGATTTCAGTGCTATGTCACTGGTATCCCATCCCATGACAGGATTTTGGGGAGTCTGTGGTCTTATTTCTAGGACAATAATCTCCACTAGTAAGCACCTGGATGTCTGGAGTTATGTGACTACATTTCCCTGGCAGAAGGTGTCTCTGTGGGTTTTTTGCAGGATGAGGGAGGAACAGGCAATCTGGGAATGCAGCTTCCTTTCAGTGCTGCCTCTCTTCCTGTAGGGCTGACAAAAATCATCAGTTACTGCTTGTTAATGCAGCACCATTGCATTGGAACATCCTGTGCTGCTCCAGCTTATTTATTAAGCCCCACCTAATCAGATAACAGGAAAACATTCCATCCTGGTGGAATGTTCTCGTATTCCCTAGTGCTGTGCGACGTGCTGGAATCCTCGTTCTGCTGCGGGTTTTGGGGCATGGAGAGGACTGATGAGAGCACTTCTCCTGCCAGGAGGCTTTGTGGCTCTGCCTCTGCTCCAGGAGGCTGGAAGGTGCCCAGTTATCCATCCCAGCTGTCCAGGCAGTGCTGGGTGACCTCACCTCAGGCTCAGGAGCGAGGAGGTTCATGGTGAGGGATGTGCCAGGCTCTGGGGGCCTGTGGGGAACAAGAGGAGGGAAGTGAAGGGATTCTGGATCTGGTCACCTCAGATGACTCCTGGGAAGTCAGGAGTTCCTGCCAAACTCGGTGGCAGTAAAGCAGCAGAGCCCTGGGGGAAGGACGGGGGAGAAGCAGTGACAGTGGTGAGTCTTTGATGGGCTGGTGAGCAAATCAGCCCCTCGGCTGCTCCAAAGGTCACACTGCGGAGCTGCCACAAACCTCCTCCTTCAAAGTTGTCTTAGAAGAACCTTCTAAAACCCCAGTTCAACCCTGTATGTTTTTACTGCATACAAGAGCAGCAGATATTCTCCCAACACATCCCACAGAACTCTCCCCTCCCTGCTGCATGGGAATGTGGGATCTTCCTCCTGCCTTTGAGTTCACAGCACCTGTAAGGACACAATGGGCTGGAGGAGTCCCACAGCTCCAGCATCCAGAAGGCTCTCAGGGACCCTTGGAGCTGGATGGAACCAATTGGAACCAACTGTGGGCATCCCAGCCTCTCCTCAGAGCACCCTGCACAGTTCCCAGTGCTGGCACCCTCCAGAGTCCTGGGGGTGACCCTCAGCCAGCACAGACCCTTCCTCCCCTCTGACCCCCACAGCAGGGTGATGGTCACCCTGCTCCAGTACTTCCCACCCAGGGAATGGCTCTTGGGATCCATCCTTCTCCTCACACCTCCTGGGAGCCAAAGGCCCCGGGGGCAGCAGGTTCCTGAATCCCTGGTCCTTTTCTTTGTCCTCCTCCTCTGCCACCTCTCTGTGGGCACAGGCACTGCAACTGCGTGTAACCTCTTTGAGCCACAGACTGTGTGTTCCTGTGGTTTTCTAGGGCTAAAAATCACATTTTAAGAGATGATAATGTCTCAGATAAGAGATGTTAATCTATTCTGTGAAACCCACGTTCCATTTCCACTCCGTTTTCAACAGAAACCAAACACATCCCATTAAACCCAATAAAAGCTGTAACCAGGTGCCTTGACAGGGCACATTAGAAACACAGCTTATTTTCCCCTCCTCAGATGAACAAAAGGTTTATTGATAATATTTCCTGTTAGCCTAAAGCATCTCTTTTAGGAACAAGTGTCTCTCTCGTGGCTGTTTATCAGCATCACATGGAGCTGAAATGTGCCCCGAGCGGGCCAGGAGTGCTTTTGAACCCACGCTGGGTACATTTAGATGTGCATATTATGCAGGGCAATAGGGCAGCAGACTCAGTGGAGTAACTTCAGAAATAACTGAAAGCAGGGCCTGTTCCTGGTACTTCGTAAATAGCAGCAATAACTCTTCAGGTCTCACACATTATTTCAGCTTTTAATATTCTGCTGGGCCATTCTGTGGCCAGGAGTGAAAAGTGAAATCCTTTCAGATCTCTGGTGAGCAGAAAGCTTGAAGGGGTAAATCTGAGCTAAGGAGGAATAATTAACTTTTTCAGAAGTCGCTTTCACCCAGGAGAATTTAAATCATACTTTTAATCTTTCAAATTGACCCTGAACCTTGCATTCATTTTATGTTGTATACTGTAGTTATATAAAATTATGTGTTACAATATTTGAGTAAGTAGAGCTGCACTGTGGACAAAATGAAGTGTGGAAAGTGTTTTGGAGGAGATAGAAGCAAGTTAATGGGAAGTATATGAAAAATCTAATCAATAAGATAACAATTTCCAAATAAAAACATGAACTGCAGGAGAGTCCAATAAATCCCATCAGTTGTGTGGAGCAGCACTATTGGATTAAATTGCATAGTGGGGAGAAGCAGAACACATCAAACACAAGGAATTAATTCTGTCTCTCTCAGTCACTTACCCTGGTTTCTGTTGGAGGTGCAGGGATTGGTTTGCCCTGCCAAGGCTGGGAGAAGGAGGAGAGGAGCACAGGCAGAGCGGGTTTGCAGTATCACCCTCTGCCTTTGCAAATCAGCCCCCAGCACACCCTCAAACAGCCTTCTGAGCCCTCCTAATGCACAAATTGGGGCTGATGTCACATCTCATTAGTGTTGTCTGGGCAAGATTGAAATGTTTTCCTCCCTGATAGCAAATTCCTCATAATTTACCTGCCTGAGACACGAAGAAAGAAATTAGAGAGAGTGATAGTTTCTTCTGGAGTTGCTTAATATTCCCTCAGTGGCATTTAATTCACTTTGCTAGAGTGGTGCATTTTGAAAGATTCAATGTGTGCATATAGTGTGTATGTATAGATATATACACCCTCCCTCCAAAATTAATAGACTCCTCAACCACTTTAGTTCCTTAACATTCCAGGCCATTCCCCAGAACCTGGAGTCACTTTGGTGAATTCCACGGTGCTTCTTAGCTGGAGGATCACCTCCTAAGCAGTTTTATTGTCCTTTTAATGTCTGAACCTGAGGATATTAGGGCTGTAAAGTGATTTATAATGATGTGCTAAACTGGAGTTGTTTCAGTCATTTTTGTTAAGGCCTCTGTGGTTGAAATGGAGGTTTCCTGGGGCTGTATTTTCTTGGAATATACTCCCTGTGCCTCTGCAACTCCTCAAGAAACGAGGATACAAACCATCTGGTAGAGCCTGGAATGCAAAAGTGCTTTTTTAACCTCTCAGTGATAATTCAGATGTTTTACAGCAGCATCTCCCAAAACACCGAGAAAATCTTCTCTAGTTTTATTGTGTGTTATTTCTCATAGTAAAATGATCTGTCAGTAACTCGAGTGATTAAGTTACTGTTGCTAAAGAACTTTATTCCCTATCCACATTTTCCTTCCTGTGGCTCCCAAAGAAAAGACCATTTCCTGTGAGGTGAAGTTGGGTTAAGCTCATGTGATTTTATTTCCATATATTTTTCTGTCTAATTGTCTGTAGGACAGTCGCTTTTAACAAGATTTTTACACATGGAAACGTTAATATCTAAATGTGGGGAAAAGCACTTTTTGAAATTCAGGTGAGGCTTTTCAGTTGTATTTTTCACACTGTACCAAGAAGCCCCATTTGTAGGAATCTGTAGTTCTAAAGCTCTACAGGACCTATTATTTTTTATTATCCATTAAGTGAATCACAGATTCTTTGGAGAAGGAGCAGTTCTTTGGTGAGTTTGGGTCACAAGGCACATCTGTGCCAGGCCAGTGTAAAAAACCAGGATAATTAACAAAACACAAGGGATAATGTACAGGGTTTTTTCAGTTACCTTTGAAACCATGAAAGACCAATTCTCTTCCAGTTCCTAAATGCTGCTCAATGTTCAATCACTTATAATTGTACAGAAAATCAAAGTGGAAGCCACGGAATCAATACCTTCGAAACCAAAGAAATCTAAAAATCCCTGAGCCTGGGAGATCCTGAAAAGAAGTAAAAGACACTGCTACATATTCATGAGGCTTTACAGAAATGAATCTGAGTGATGAAAAGTGTCTCTGAGTGTAAAATACCCACGTTCATTAATCTCTTTTCAACACTCCACAGGGCAGCAGAGCAGCTTTTTGGGAGCACAGCTCAAGGAGAAGGAATTCTGTCTCCAGGGCCATCCCTGGTTGTTCTTCAGTGGGTGTGAGCAGATGCTGCCCAGGTAGGATCCACCAGACAAACGTATTTAGAGCTCTGCCAAGCCCAGGATAACTAAGGAAAAAATAAGGGGTTTTTGTGGGGTTTTTTTCATTCTCTCTCTCTGAGGAATTCATGTTCTATTTCTTGTTTAAAAACAATCACCACTATGAAGAGTTGAACTCCACCAGAGACTTTTGGACCATTTTGGTGGTTCTAGGAATGGAGGGTCATCTGAATATAGGGAAAAAAATCTCACAAAATAGCAATTCCCAGCAATCTGTTGAAATTTAGGAGAGTTCTTGTGATAACAAGGCCGTCGGCTGCCGCTCTGGGTGCCATGGAAACAGGGGAGGCTGCTTTCAATCCATTCCTAGGCCAGAAAAAATAAGAAAAAAAGAGAATAGGCTTTTGTGGGATGACTCATTATAAGGACTTTTCCCACCTCTTTTATCAGTGCATGTAGCTGCTGCCCTGGCAGAGGGACTGAGGGGTGTCCCAGGGCTGGTCAGTGCCTGCCAGAGAAGGAATACTGGGGATTTCTGAGTCTCTGGGCTCCTAATTTACGAGGGAGTTGAGGATCAAGTAGTTGAGGGTATTTTAAAATTAATTTTCAATTTAATTTTTAAGTAAATTTTAAATTTTAAATTAATTTTTTGATTCTTTTCCTGTTCATACTGAGCAGGTTAATGCACCATGTCTGGTGCTGTTTCAGTGCCAGTTCCACAGCGCTGGCACACACAAAACTCTGCCCATCAGTGGCAGGAATAATGCACCATTAAGGAATAATGAGCTCTTCCTTCATCCTTCTCCTGTGGACAGCCTTGGGGAAGGAAAGTACAGAGTGAAAGGTGAGGGGATTTCTTTCCTCTAATTCTATTTTTGGTCCATGGTGCAGCCTGAACTGCAGTTTGGGCTCCCTGGAGCTGCAAATCTTGGGCCAAACCCCTCAATTCCGAATGATATTCCATAGGAGAGGGGGAGGAGCAGGCAGGAGAGCATTTCAAGAGGCCCAGATTAGTTGTGCTCCTGCAGAACTGAGCGTTTTAGAAACACGGAAAGGTAACAACCTCGAGCACCAGAAGATTTGATTTTGCTGGTGTTGTTATTTCCTCATTTAAAAGTAGCTACAATGCACTGAGAAACTTGCAGGGGATGAATTCTGCTGAATCCCAGTTGGTTTTGCACTGAGGGATTTCCTGGCTGCTGTAGCCAGGCTTATCCAGAGGGCCGGGAAGAGCCTGTGACCCCAAAGAGGGAGGAAAGGGAAAACACTGACGTCACCGTGAACTCCTGCTTTGGTTTTTGTACTCAGATACCCCAAATTTTAGATATTTTTATGTGTTTCAGTGCTCCCCTCCTCCATATTCTCAGTAAAACATCATAACAAGGAATTTCTCACTCCAATGACGGGAATCAGTGTGATGGTTTTACCATTTGGAGCCTCATAAATGTGTTGTGCAGAGGATTGGAGTTGTTGTCCTGGAGCTCCTGTGATTGCTGCACTAAATGTACAAAATCCATGCAGCTATTCATATGTTAAGTTTTATGGCTCTGAGGGAACATCTGGAGATTTCCATTTGGGGTTTCCTCAGCTTTCTTTGCTGGGCAGGATGTGGGATTTCCCTCCAAACTCAAAGAATGAAAGCAGAGATGAATGTGAGGTTTTTGTAAGACAAAATGATCCCATCCTTATATAAGATCTATGACAAAAATCCAGATTTCTCTGCAAGCTGCACATGGGTTGTTTGTTCTTCATGTTCCTCGGTAATACAGTAATTTGTTATGCTTAAGCTGATGTTTTTCCAGTTTCTTTACATTTGACTCACATTGTTTCTGTGCTTACGTGGAGATGAAGCCAAAGAGACAGATAATCTGGAGCAACATATCCTTGTTCTCTGTGCTTCATCCATTTATTTCTGTTCTCTGTGATTTTCAGGGTCTATTGGAAAATAATTTAAATAAATTGGCACATACAAAGCTTGAAGGAAACCTAAATAACTTTAGCAGGTAACAGGAAAAATGTTTTTAAAACTGACAGGTTGCCACTGCAGAGCCTTCAGCTGATGAGCTGCTTTCTGGCCCACTGGAAATCAATCACACTGGAATCCTTGGGAGCAAATCATCGGATGGAACGTGGGAAAACTGGTCTTTGTTGGGATGTGGAGAGAGTTTGGGGAGAACAATAGTGTTTATTTACAGATAACTGCCAAGATTGGCTGTTTGGTTCCATATTAGCCCTGCCAAGTGTCGGTGTTTGGAGGGATAAGGATGTGGGTGAACTGTGCTGGAGTGGGAGATGGCTCTGCTTTGGGCTCTATCCAGCGGGATGCTGCCTTACCCAACAATCAAGGTAGGAAGTCACAGGAAATCCCTGGGGTGGGTATGTGCTGGCTGGAATCTCCAGGAAGGAGGAGCACGGAGTCCACACTTTATTTCCATAGGAAATAAGAATTCCCATATAAAGGTTTGGCAGGGAGAACTGCACACACACCTGGCCATAAATTTAATCCCATCAGATGAAGTTGGTTTTTTGTTTTAATTTACAAATATTTGCCTTTTTTCTTCTCTTTCCTTTCTTTCTTTCTTTTTTCTCTTTTCTCACTTAAAAAGTTTTCTTTGAGAAAGATTTGTTTAACTCTGCTCAAAGCTCTCCAGATACTTGATATCCTGACACTTTTGTGATATTCTAGAACTCCATTAAACTGTTTCATTTTATTCCTGCAAGCCCAAGTGTGCAAAGCAAAATCCTTGGTTGGGGATTTATCCCCCCTTTCCCCAGTATTGTGGGTTAACACAAAAGCCACAACTGAGCTCTGCATCTGCCAATTATTGAAAGATAAAATAGCAATTAGAGGGGGTGAAGAAGAAGGATGACAAACCTTTGACATATTATCGTTCTTCCTGCTGGGAGATGATTATCCAAAGGGAGCTGGAGCTGTGGGAAGCCACCCAGCCATCCTTCAAAATGGGAATTTTGTCACTCACTGCGGATTCCATTCCTTTCCTGGGCTGGGATAATTCATTTATTTCAATTAATGGGCGCACTTGAGCTGACAAGATATTCACTTGTTTCTTTAGTTTTTGCATTTTACTGTATTTTAGTGTCTGTGACTTGTCTCAGCATTGATATTTCTGGTCATGACGTGTCTCCTGTGACAAGGAAGGTCACACAACTGGAGATGCATCATCCATCCTTCAGGGCACTGAGAGGTTCTCAGCCCTGCTTCTCTGTCCCACTGCTGCTTGTCTGCCCATCTGGAACACCCAATTAACACCTGGGCTAATTAACAGTGCTGGGGGGGCCTCTTCTATTACCTGTTATTGGTTTCAGCAGGGATAAATCACACTGAACACCACAGGAATTGTGCCATGCGGGAGAACATAAAAAAATGCACTTGTAGATTTAAATATTCGTAAAATTTTTAAGAGAAGATTTTGTATAGTGAATAAAACTGATATTTTACTTCTTCTTTGTAGACCACTAACAGGGCAGGCACTGTGTACCTTGGGCTCAGTGCAGGGACAGTATCAGCTCATGGAGAAATAGCTGATTGGTATTTTTTTTAAGTTTGGTTGTTTGCTGGTTTTGACAGTGGAGTTTGGCCTTTTGAAACTGTCCATTTGAAAGGTATTGGTCTGTACAAAACTGCAGATGAAAGGTTGGGTGCAATTATTCCCCATGGATTATCTCAGGGCAAAACACTTGGTCATTGAAGTCATGGATCCACAAACTCTTTGTATGATCACAAACAGCATTACTGGTTTTTCAAATCAGCTCCTAAAGCTGAAAATATATGATTTAATTCCTGTATTATTTCCACTTTCATGCAGGATCAGGTTTCCCCTTGTTGAAGAATATTTCTTTTCAATTTAGGTAATTTTTTTATAGAAAAAAAAATTCCTTGTGCTGGGAGCTGCTTTATAGAAGGAAAATTGCCTTTCTCCTCATCAATTTTTCCAAGCCTTTTGCAAAGATGAATTGGGGACTGTATTTAACTAATCACATGTTATTCCAGTTTTGTAGAGTAAATACACAGACTGGCAGTGGGACTTGAGAAGTCGCCACAGTTTCAGGGTTTCTGAAATCATCTTGAAAAAAAAGAAATTGAAATTATTTCGTGTTTCCCACCCTGTGTTGCTTTGAATGCAAAATCTTGGTAGGGCAAGAGGTAATATATTGATTTTCAGGGAATTCCAATCAGAGATTGTTGAGGTTTGGGTGTTTAGCAATCTGTCTGACTGTGCCCTCAGTGGTGTTTGGACTAAAGGATCCTCCTACCTCATCTTTTCCAGCTGTCCCTGAATTATCATCAGGAAGAAGGTACAGAACTGCAGATGTCCAGACTGTGAGTTGGTCACATGTATCATCTGCATGCTCCTGATCAGCCAAAAATTATGAAAAGCAAGGTAAACAGTTGAGGAAATGTTCCCAAAATTGCCATGAGCTGTCTGCCCTGATGGGCTTTATTTAAATGTCACCAAAAAATAATGTTTGGATATGATAAATGAGATGCCCATTTCAGTGAGCTCACACACCTAAAAGCAAATACTGCTGCCCATGCAGTTCTTAAATGGCATTTCAAAGAATTGGATCAGTCTTCCTCAGAATTTACAATTATGCAGAGAAAATAGATCATGCCTGTTGTGTTTTTATCCCATCCTCCTTTGTCCTCATTTAATGTTGGAGATCAGTTTGACCCTGGCTGCAGCTTCCTGAGGAATCCCCTCTAGTTCTTTTTCTTTGATGTGCTGCATACATTCCTTCTCCCCACCTTTTCCTAACCCTGTTGAAACCTCTTGCTGAGAGAACCAGGGGTTATACAAACTTCCCTCTACCTGAGAAGATCAGTGGTGAGCAAGAAGCAAAGTGCTCCAAAAGGCAAGATATGGGTCCTGCCTATTGCAGTGGTATGTGGCAGGGGGGTGGTTAGTAGGGCTTAGATTTTGAAGGCTGCAGCACCAGGATTAAAGCCTGGAGTGGTGCCTTGCTCTGCTGGCAATTCCAGGGAAAACAGGTGTGAAGAAACTGCTCTTTAGACTCTCCTCAGCAGTTTTTTCTGGAGGAAAATGAAGATATCCTGGCCCAGGGCTCCCTTCCCGTGGCATTTTACTTGGAGGCAGAAGGAATGTGCTGGAGGTATTTGGACACTCTCCTTTTATCAGGAGCTGTCTCTCCTATTTTGCTCATTACCAGAGTGATGAGCCCTGTTAAATCCTCAAAGAAAATGTTCCTTGCGCCAAAAGATCTTCAGCAGAACAGATTGTTTGAGCTTTATCCCCAGCAGTTTAAATAAGGCATTACCTCACCCTTGTCCGTGTGCAGGGGATGAGCAGAGCTGGAATTCAGCAGGTGGGAGATGCAGGATCAGCTTTGGAGCTGACTCAGTAACAGCTCAGTGTGTGCTGGTGCTGGGTCTCCCTTCAAAACCAGCAGTGATTTATTTATTTTTCAAAGAAAAATGATCCCCTGTTTTGTTTAAGTCACATAAGGAAGCCAAAGGAAAGATAAAATAGCAAGAGGAGGCACCACTTCTTTCTGCTGATGAGGCAGTTGATGGATGGCTCTCTGAGGACCTGACTGAACTCGGTGTTCTGCCCACCAAATGAAGATAAATCATTGGTGAAGGGTTTGTGGAGTACATGCCCCAAATCAATTATGCTCAACATGGAGATCTATTAATCTATTTCTTCCTCTTCACTCTCCCCAGCCTCCTTTAAATGGCTTTTTATCATTCCAAACACAGGTTAGTTAAGTGATGGTACAGTTAGCACTAAAATCACAGCTGTGAGGAGTTCTTTCACCCCTTCCCTGTGCTCTGCCCAATTACCTGAACTCAGTTTTATAACATTTCTCCCAAAGAATCCCTAAGTGTCTCCAGTGAAATGGTCCCATGGACACTGATCTTTCTGCAGGGCTTTGGTGGGTGTTGTCACCTTTCCTTGGAAACACAAAGATTCCTGTATGGAGAAAAAACAGCAAATCGTGCCTATATAAGGCTGTGGAGTTGAAAACACTACAATGAAAAAGTCATATCCAGGAAATTGTCTCTATTGAATGATTCTTTAGGGAAATCCAGTGGAGTTCAAAGCCAGTATTAGATGCTCTCAGTTCCCAGGGAAAAATAGTCCAGTCGTGGTCAATGCCTCACCAAGGAAGATGAGGGAGGCAGAGCAAGCATTGAAGGGAGGGTAAATAACAGCTGGGAATTTAAAATTTTAAATTTTGACAGTTTTTAAATTCTGAGGTCACCTTATGTTTCTAAACTAGGAACATTTCCATGGTGAGCAGCTGCCTCCAGTCTACCTCCTCCCACCTGATATTTCCCCACGTTAACAGTGTTAAGGTTGTTAATCCATCAGGTAGGCAAAGCATTCCAAATGAATTCCAAATCCCAGCCCAGATCATTTCCATCCTGGCAGTGAATGACTGGCATTAGAATGACCCACTAGTTCTGATGCCATAAAAAGCAGCCTGTTTTAGGATGACTTTTGTGACTGTACTCAGAAGTTCAAGGAGCCATGTAAAGTCTCTAAATCCCACGAGAACATATTCCCTGAGAGAATCCCCTGCAGGATGGGAGGCACTCAGACATCTTTGCAGCCTCTAAGGATGGAGAAAAATCACCTTAATGTTAAAAGGTGATGCTTTGCAGCTCCACAGGTTGGAGCTTTCACCCAGACATGCTCAGACCCCTGTCTGAGACCTCTGGGGTCATCCTAGAAAGTGTTTGAAATGCTATTTTTGTCTTCCAGTAGCTCAAGAGTTCCTGTCAATAAAGCCTGAGATACAAAAGCAATACATTGAGTCTTTCAGAGCAGGGTTTCAGTTTCGTGGCTCTGAATTTCATTGACTTTCTAAACAGAGTTGAGCTTTTGTTGGTAATTCATTCAAAGCAAGTAGCCACTGCGTAAATCCTTAGTTCTGTGGTAAAGCCTGTGCATACAAAATTAAACTGGGTGGAATCTGTAAGGCTGGGGTGGAATTTCCAGCTTTTATACTCAGCCTTTCTTCTGATGGAATTAATGAATGTTTGGGATTGTTGCAGATGCAGTCAAACTCTGTAACATATTGATTAGTGGTGTATTGACAAAAATTGGTCTCTTTGTTAACAAGAAACAACACAGTGATTAATAGGTTACGTAAGTTGTACACAGTGTGCAGACAGATGTTTGAAGAAGTGAAGCATCCCAAATAATCAATAATGATGGAAGCAGGACAGAAACTTTCCATCTTAGTCTTGATCATCATCAGCAGAAAATGATCCCAGTGTTTTAGGGAAGGACTAACTTATTTTCATTCGGTTCTCATTTATTGTTATTATTTTAAATTTTTAATTTATTATTATTATATGAATTTGCTGAGTGGATTTTCCAGTCACCAAGGGTCACCAAGAAAAGAGGTTTTCTCAGATTGTACCATCAGGAATTTCTGATCCCAGGTAGATCTGGTTTGGCAGAGCAAGCCTTGAAACTGGCTTCAGCTCTCTGATACGATCCAAGTCAAATCCATGTTTGACATCACTTCAGCATGACACAAGAAGGAAATCTAGTTTAAATACAGGCAAAGGACTTCAGAATGCATTGCTTGAACTTTATGTAGCGTAAGGATTTTTTTCCACATGAATTCACATTGGAAAGGGCTGTCAGTGAGGATGTTCCTCTTTTCCTGCCTTTTTCAGTCTGCCAGATAAAACCACAAAGGTTATTGTTGTTAAGATTTCCAGTTTGTTTCCCCAATTTTCAGATGTCATTCAGAGAAAGAAACTCTGCAAAGGTAAGAACTGAGCCAAGTGTCAAACTTGCCCAGCTCCACTCCTCTTTTTTCACTTTCCTCAGTGTAGGAAGAAAGAGGCAGAATGAGCAGAAAGGAGTCGGAGCTTATGAGGGAGAAGAAGGAATAAAGGAACACCTCTTTTTTAGCTGAAACCTGACTTAGAGAAGCATTGACTTTCTTAGCACTGCTTAGGGCTGAAAAGATCTATTCATAGTAAACTCTGGCCCAGGAAACCAATTTTTATACTCATTTGGATTTTAAGGCCTATTTTTCATTTTCCTTTTGTTCTGTGACAACAGATGTATTCCGACCTTTGCGTGGAAGTTTTTTCTGTTCCCAGTACCATCCTCCTTTATGGGTTAGGCACTGAATGGACTTTACTCCCCAAGACAGAATTAAAAAATACTACAATAATGACACGTGGCACCATGTTTCCAGAGCCCTGTGCCATTTTTGCTTTCACTAAACAATATATTCATGTGGGTATTCTCCGAAATCACTGCAAATTCAGCTACCACAAACGTGAGGGCAGAGAAAACCAATCTGAGGTGGCTCAGTGAAAACACCTTTATTTCTTCTGAGCTGTCCTGAAGGACTGAAAAAATCCCCCTGATTTAGGGAGCATGGATGGAGATCTAAGGATTGTACCATGTTCAGAAACTGAGAAATAGATATGGGGATACCTAGATATAAGGATGGGAAATATTATCCATACACTGATATCCACATCCCCTGGATTAAACACAATTTATGGAGTTGATACAAAGACTCTATAAAATCACAGTTCAAAGGCAGGTGAACAAAACCTGATGGTTTTCTGAGGGCTATTGGCAATGCAATGATCCCTCTCAGCTGTGGTGCCAGGGCACTGCTGAGGGTGCATTGCCTGCAGCTGGGCCTCCTTCCCAACTCCCCATCCCCTTCCCCAGCTCCATTCCCCTTCCAGCACCCGAGCAGGGCTGTTCTCCCCCACTGTTTCCAGGATATTTGTGTTCTTGGATCCCTCGTGGATCAGGATGTTCCTCTGTCAAGGTAAGAGCCTGTGGCTGAACCTGCCCTCATGAGGGGCCTGGTTTGGGGAGAGGGCGGGAAGAGAGAGCTGGGACTTTAAGTTGGACATGAGACATTTTGAGGCATTTGTCTTGACTTGAATATGTCTCTGCTTTATGAGGTTTAATTTAACATTCTATGTAGTTGGATATGAGGTTTAATTGAATGTTCTGTGTGTTTTGACATGCTGGGTTTTTTGGGGGGGGGAGTTATAGTTGGTTCTTGTGGGGTTTTTGCTATCAAGTTTTTAATGGTTTGATCTGTAAAAATATTTAAATTAGGAACAACTTGTGTGGAACACTTGCTTTTTCCTGGAACACTCCTGAGAAGTGTCATCCTTTAATACATAAGGGGGGACTTTGTTTGTGGGGTTTTGGAGTTTTTCCCCAAATGTCAGTAATGGTGGTCTGAGGGAAGAGCTGCGTTTGCACTGTGAGGTGGCTCTGGATTGGGTGGAAAGACCTTTCTCTCCTAACTTTGCAAGTATTGGAAGAACTGTGGCTCAAAACTTAGCTGTTCTTGGGTGTCTTTTAAAGGTTTCTTCCTGCATAGTAACAATAAACAGAATTTTAAGTGGTTTATC